TTCTTACTTCTCCGGTCATACAGGCCTGAGTGCAAAGGCTTTTTTTCTTTACATAGTTATTTACTTTTAGGCCTCTTTCTCACTTGAAAATTCAGACATTAATTGTGGCTCTCTTTTCATATACACTCATTCATTTTGTAAGTGGCTTTTGTAAGTGCCTGGGGTTAAACAGTACTTAATTTAAATGTTAAGTGGTGTAGGTAGAACTAAGTGAATTATGCAGAAGTCATGTTGTAATAAGCTTTATGGGTACATTAATGAAGATCAAACTGTTTTCATTTATAGCTGTCTAGTGTGCAACCATTAACATTACTCTGCTACTTTCTCTACATCAAATAATCTCAGAGCTAAATACTTCTATATTTGAATTTCTACTTTGTTTCTGTTTCAAAGACTAGTCTACACATTTTCTTCCCATATCAATTTCCAAAGAAATTAGTTAAACTAATTACCATTGTTCTTGTATAAATGTTTGCGTCAGACTATCTCATGGGCTACTGATCCTCTTTTGGGTCAGTGATAGCCACAAGGTAGTTATGCATTATTCATTAAGAATGCATGCAAGCTGGGCACCTGTGGCTCACACCTGTAATCCTAGCTACTCAGCAGGCTGAGATCTAAGGATTGTGGTTCAAAGCCAGCCTGGGCAGGAAAGTCCTTATGAGATTCTTATCTCCAGTTAAACATTCAAAAACTGGAAGTGGTGCTGTGACTCAAGTGGTAGAGCACAGAGAGCCTTGAGCACAGAGAGGCTCAGGGACAGTGCCCAGGCCCTGAGTTCAAGCCCCACAACAGACAAAAAAAAAAAAAAGATTGCCTGTTCAAGACTCAATCCATGGGCCAACACATATCAGAACTCTTTTATATAGCAGCTATCTTTTATTCTGTTGGTAAGACCAGGAACCAGAGGTTCATGCCTGTAATCCTAACTACTCAGGAGGCTGAGATCTGAGGATCATAGTTCAAAGCCAGCCCAGGCAGGAAAGTCCATGAGACTCTCATTTTCAATTAACTACCAGAAAACTGGAAGTGGTCCTGTGGTTCAAAGTGGTAGATCACTAGCCTTGAGCAAAAGAGCTCAAGGACAGTGCCCAGGCCATGAGTTCAAGCCCCACCACTGACAAGAAACAAAAGAAAACAACACACAACAAAAAAATAATGCTTGCAGATATTACCATTACAAATCAATAAGAGTAGCAGGCATTTTTCAGGTGTTTTTATCCACTAAAATGAGAATTCTTGTATATATTAGCTTTCAACAGAAATGACACATGTAAATTAGTAAATACTATTTTAGCTGCATGGCTATATAGCATTTAAATTAAGTTTAGAATATATTGTGTGTGGGGGGGGGGGGGGTGCTTGAACTCAGGGTTTGGGTGTTGTCCAAGAGCTTTATTGTTCAAGACTAGCACTCTACCACTTGAACCACAACTCCACTTCCAAGAATATATCTTTAATTTATCTTTCTTTCCAGTTTTGTCTACTACAGTTTCATTGAGCTATGTATAATGAACATTTGTTGGGTGCTTGACAGTGTGCCTGTGCATTTCTAAGCATGTAACATGGGTTTATTCATTTAATCTTCAAAAATAATACATAAAACATAAAGTACTATTTTCATTATACATTTAATCTTCAAAAATAACACACAAAATACTATGTTTATTCCTATTTACAGAGTTTAGATAATTTGCCTAAGAATATATCAACTAGCAAATGACTAAATAGGAATCCTAATTCAGGTAGTTTGATTTCAAAGTCCAAGATCTTAACACTAAGCCATAATTTCTCTCAAATTTAACTATCACTATTTTTCCAAAAATAAACAATAAGTGTCATGAATGATTATTGTGTGCTGTTCAGGGTCTGAATGCAACATCTCAAACTATGATGTGTGGCATTCTGTGTACTTCCAACTGAAGGAGACTGAGAAGGAAGCTTTCAGAAACAAGATCTGTCTAGTCTTCCTTTTCCCTTTCCTGTGCTCCCTAATTTGGTTTCAGAATTCCCAGCCAGGAATAGTGGGTCTTGGCTATAGTCTCAGCACTCTAGAGGCAAAGCTGAGGTGAGATGGAGGATGGGAATTTCAGAGTCAGCCTCTGTTATAAAACAAGATCTTGTCTTTAACTTAAAGAGAAACTTCTCTGAAGAGGAAAGAAGGATGGCCAATAGACACATGAAGAAATGCTCAACCTCCCTAGCCATAAAAGACATGCAAATCAAAACAACATTGAGATAACACCTCACCCCACTTAGAATGGCTATAATCAAGAACTTTAATAACAACAGATGCTGGAGGGGATGTAGATAGAAGGGAACCCTACTGCATTGTTGGTGGGAGTGTAAACTTGTTCAACCACTTTGGAAAGCAGTATGGAGGTTCCTCAAAAGACTCCACATAGAGCTCCCCTAGGACCCAGCAATCCCACTTTTGGGCATTTACCCAAATGTTCACAAACAAGACCACACTAAAGCTATGTTTATTGCAGCATTATTTACCATAGCTAAATATGGAACCAACCCAGATGCCCCTCAGTAGATGAATGGATCAAGAAAATGTGGTATATATACACAATGGAATTCTATGCCTCCATCAGAAAGAATGACCCATTTGTTAGGAATGCCCCATTTGTTAGGAAATGGAAAGCCTTGGAAAAAAATTATATTAAGTGAAGTAAGCCAGGCCCAAAGAAACATAGGTCCCATGGTTTCCCTTATTTGCAATAACTAGAACATGTCTGAGTCAAGCAGAAAAGGTCAGATAAGTTGATGTTAGGCGAAATGAACCCCAAGATAAGGACTCAAATGTTTTTTTTTTCTTTCATGTGATTGTTTCTAACATATTTATAAGATGATTTCTTTGTTGCTTTGTATGTCCCTCCCCCACAGTATAACCCCTGCTTTCACTGTATTTGATGTCGGTATAATTTGTGGAGGGGAAGGGAAAAAACAAATCGTTTAAATAGGGATACAGGTGGCCCCATTGCAACAATGAGATGTACAAGTCATTATGTCGAAAACGAACTATGGGAAGGGATGGGAAGGGATGGGAAGGGGAAACAAAGGAGGAGGCTACAATGCTTGATAAGAAATGTACTCATTATCTTGCCCATGTAATTGTAACCCCTCTGTACAGTATTTTCACACACACACACAAAAAGATCTTGTCTTTATCTTTCCAAATTCTTTGGGGAGGGGTGAGGGGGAAGAGGGTTGGGGAGAAGAAAGAAGGGAGGGACCGAAAGAGGGATAGAGAGAGATTTCATTCTTAAAACACACAGTGTTGAGTGCTGTAGCTCATAGTTGTAATCCTAGCCACTCAGGAGGCTGACATCTAAGGATTAATATTCTAAGGAAGAAAGTCTGTGAGATTCTTTTCTCCAATTAATCACCAGAGGGGGAGAAAAAACTAGAAGTGGTAGTGATGTGGGTCAAGTGGTAGAGCTCTGGCCTTGAGTAAGACAAGCTCAGGGACAGTGCTCAGGCCCTCAGTTCAAGCCCCAGGACCTACATGCACACACACACACACACACACACACACACACACACACACACACACACACATCACATAGCCGAAAAAGACAGCTGTCCATCCAAGGGTCTTTGGATCTTCATTTCAGAAAATTATTTTTCATGGAAAAACTTGATAAATAAATGTATATGTTTTCTTTTTTTATCCTTTTAAAATTAGGTCACCAACCATGAATCTTGCAATGGGCTATGGACGTTTCAGAGCTGAACACAAAGCTGCAACTTCCCCCTATGCACTGCCATAGCTACATCCCATAGGCTTGGCTTGGATTTTTGAGATAGGACCCTTTGTAATCCAGGCTGGCCTGACAGACTTTTGGTATATTCTACTCTTATTTTCCTTTTGTTAAATAGACTTCTTTATCGTCCTTGTGATTTCATCAGCTTATACCCTTGGCACATTGTTTTTATTGTAAACATGGAAATGTCTAGTTTTCATGTTTCTTGTGCATAGAATGTACTGTGAGTGGTGCCCATGTTCCAAGTATATGGGGCTTTTGCTCTCTAAAAGCAACATGTGCTCCACAGGGTTCAACAGGAGCTCCACATGGTTCATGGTTCATTATAAACACTCAATTCTTATTGTATGAAGTTTGATGTTGATCAGATTCTCTGAGTTTCCACTAACTCCTGAGTGCTGGTTGAATCTAAACCCCCAAGGTCACTCACTCCCCCATGATAAACCAACGGGTGGTGAGTTAGTTCCAATTATTTCTTCTTTTCTGCTACCTCTTTCCTCTTCGTATTTTAAAATGTAACAACACCTGACTAGTTAAAAACAGAAAAAGAGAATTAAGTCTGGCCTAGAGGGATAAAGGATGTTTGCTTCTCTCTAATACGTGGAAGCTAAGCCTAATTTATAAACGTACAAGCAAACACATACATAGGGGTTGTATGCAAGTGTACACCACTGTATTGACTGGAGTATGGTATTTGAAGAGGAGAAGAATACAAACCGTGTAATTCCTTAGAAAAACTAACTGTCAACAAAATGAAGAGCAGGAAACTGGCACTGGAAAGGTGTGTGGAGGAGGCGACGTGGCGGTGATAGAGAATGAAAGGAGGAAGGGGTGAAAAGAAGTTATAGTAATGAAGAGGAAAGAGGGAGAACGCAGGCAGACTAGGCCATGCATATCCTATGAAACTGAAAACCTGCGGGGTGGAGTTGGAGGGCTGGGAGAGAAGGATGAAATGGGTAAACATCAAGATGCATGCTATTCCATAAACGGCTCTGTTGAATGACAATTCCTTAGGACAACTAGCCCGGGAAAGGCTGGGCCCAGGATCCCCACAGTACCAGCGCAGCGCGCCCTCCGCCGGACGCACGCCGCAGGCGTGGCAGAGCAGGGGGGCGGGGCCGCGCAGGGGGGCGGGGCCGCGCAGGGGGGCGGGGCCGCGCAGGGGGCGGGGCCGCGCGGCGTGCTGGCGTCAGAGAGGCCCGCGACGCCGGCGGGGGCTGAGGGCTCGGGGCGCGGGTTCTGTGAGGTGAGCCGGGGCCTGGGCGGCGGCGGCGGCGGCGGGGCCACAGCAGGACCTGGCGCGGCGTCCGCGGCCTCCGGGGCGGGGGCTGTGGTCGCGAGGCCCCCTCCCCGGGGAGGCGGAGCCGGGTCGAGCCTGGGCGGCGGCGGCGCCGGCGGGGAACCATGCATCAGAAGCTGCTGAAGAGCGCGCATTACATCGAGCTGGGCAGCTACCAGTACTGGCCGGTCCTGGTGCCCCGCGGCATCCGCCTCTACACCTACGAGCAGATCCCCGTGTCCCTCAAGGACAACCCGTACATCACCGACGGCTACCGGGCCTACCTGCCCTCCAGGCTGTGTATCAAAAGGTAAGGGCGGCCCGCCGCGCCCGGCACCCCCGCCCGGCGGGTCCGGTCCCCCCGCTCCTCACCACCTCATCCTTTCATCTCCTCCCTGCCCGGTCCTGCCCCGCCGGGGCATTTGATCCCTGGGATGACGATGATGATGATGATGATGGTAACCGCGATTGCCCACCTCTCCCGCGGCGCTTGGGTGTTCCCCCGGGGCGCCGGTGGTTCCTTGATTTCCCTGCGGTGCGTATTCGGGATGCGCCCCCCGTGGACGACGAAGCCGCTCTGGACCCAGTGCATCGCTGAACGCTGTGCTGCTTTTTAGGACGTAACAGCCGTGGGGGGGAGGGGGGGGAAATGCAGATATTCGGGACCGATGCCTGGATAAAGAGGAAACAACTTCACCCTGCCGCCCACATGTATAGCAAACCCCGATTCATTTCCTTTAGCAGATAACTGACGGATTTCCCGGCTAGGGGCTAGGGCACTGTGTCAGATCCCCCTGCAGAGAACAGCAGTCAGTCCTGATCCCTGTTCCCATAAAGCTGCCCAGGACTAGCCCGGGCGACAGGCACTCCAGAGGTAATGACATTATTACATAATCGCTATTGTGGAAAATAATGTGTAAGAAAAGCCCTATAGCAAAGAGGGTGATCACAGGGCACACCCAATCTCCACGAGTGCACCTGAGAAGCACCTCTTAGAATCTGTTTCATGATCATTCCAACCTGTAAAACCAGAGTCTCTTAAAAGCCTGTGCTAAAAGGAAACTTAAAAAAAAAGGGTTCTAGTCTTTTTTTTAAAAAATAGCTTTCTGTCAAAATTCATTGAATGTACTTAAGTCTCCACTTTCACAAATATCAGATAGCTCTAGTTCTTTGTAGTGGCAAACTCCAATTCTGGAATGCAAGTTCTTGAACTGCTTACGCAGTACATATCTTTTTCTTGATTTTTGCCATGGTGGTTCTTATCATCCTCAATAATTTTGAAGATCTTATTATGATAACGATTCTTGATTTTTGAAGTTGAACAGTTTGGGGATGCCTAACTCTTTACACAATAAAAATAGGTCTTCTGTTGAGGAGATTGTTTCACCTGATCTTCCTACCTAGCTTAATCTCTTCCAGATTCAGCCTTTGCTCTTTTGCAGCTTTCAACAATGACCAAGTTCTGTATGTCCCAACAGGTCTAGTTGTCTTCTGCTACAGAAGGAACATAGAAAGAATGGTCAGTTAGTCACATTACACGGGTCTTCACAAAATGCAATAGTGACAATAGGCAAGATGCAGTGTTGTCAGTTGCATTTTTTTTTTTAATATTCCTGCATCCTGTCCCCAGTTATATAAAGTCTTTATGTTTGATGCTGTACAAGATAAAAATCTTTGGCTTCATGAGACAATATTCACTTTTTTTTTTTTTTTTTTTTAGTGGTTGATTGAAATCTTGCCATTTTTTTTATCACTTGTAAAAATGGAAAAATGACAACTATTCTGACAGTCATTCAGTAAGTTAGTCATATACTAATGCTTACTCCTGAGGATTCCTGGATCCATGACAGTCAAGGCTTAATTTAAGCAAAAAGGTTGTACTTTGCTAGAAAAATGGGAGAATATTTTAATCTTTAGTCATGATACTGCCTTTCAATAAACCAGAAGAGGCACATCCGAAAAGCATTTTATACAATCACCGAAGGAGCTGGAAGTAAGAGCAGCAGCATCTCATGTGTTGTTTTGTTTTATAGTTAAGGAAACGAGTTCAGCAGTAGTACTCCTAGTTACTCTGGAGACTGAGATCTGAGGATTGGTGTTGGAAGCCAGCCCTGGCAGGAGAGTCCATGAGACTTTTATCTCAAATAAACCACCAAAAGGCCAGAAGTGGAACTTTGGCTTCATTGGTAGATCTCCAGCCTTGAGCGAAAATGCTAAGGGACTGAGGCAGGCTCTGAATTCAAGCTTCAGTACTGGCACCACCACCACCAACAACAATAACAACAACAAAACCTTAAGCTCAGAATATAAAAGTTTATATGCTTATCATTGCTGAACTAATTGTGATTAATTGTGTCAGGGATGAGCAGGAGACTAATTGTGGCAAAGAGTGAGCAACAGTCTTGACTCCTGGTGTGGGTAGTACATTCTTGCACCAACCTATGCTGCCAAAGTCAATGGTCAAGACATTTCAAAAGAGGACAAATAGTGCCCGTATTAAAAGTAACCTCTTCTTGGTCTTATGAAATATAAACTCATGCCACCTGGAAACAAGAACCTTCCAGTGCGTTAGTGTGTTTATTCTGCTTCTCTTAAATTCATTTAACTTTGTATTTAATGAGTACTTACAAAGGTATGTTAAATTTCTGACCAAGCTTGCAGTGAGCACCTTTTCATGTATCTATTATCGACAGTGTTATAGCTCACATCCAGTTTTTATCTGCATACTTATTTTTCCAGAGTGAATAATCTGAGCAAGTGAACTTTTCTTAGAAAAATGGTGTCATGTAGATGAATAGTAGAGTGCTGGTGTGAGGGGGTTGATAGGCTGGAGGATTCATGTGTAAATGACTTCAAATACACAAAAAGAAATTGTAAGTATGAGAAGAATTGAACATCAGAAAGCTCTAAGGCCCTAGGATTATTAGAGATAGATTAAACCTCTGATTAATTGAATTGATCGATAGTTCAACTTTAGACGGTCACAGCTAAGGATAAAGGGCTTAAAGTAATAAATACTAAGTCACTTCTTTAAATTGTTCCCAACCAGTGTGAATCTGAGCTACATGTTTGTTTACTTTGCAGTTTATTTATTTTATCTAACGAAACAGTAAACATCTGGAGTCATTTGCTGGGTTTCTTTCTCTTCTTCACCCTGGGAATATATGACATGACATCTGTGTTACCTTCTGCAAGTGCATCCAGAGAAGATTTTGTAATTTGTTCTATTTGTCTTTTCTGCTTCCAGGTGAGTCATTTCACAACCACTGTTATTACTAAAGAGAACTTTTTTTTATTATAACACAACCCCCACAAAAGTCTGTTGTTTTGTATTTAGATGTTATTAAGTATATTTGAAATCTATTAGATTTCAAAATTGAAAAAAATATTTCCTTATTATTATTATTATTTTGGCACCAGTATTGAGGCTTGAACCCAGGGCCTCATGCTCTTGCTGACTTGCTTAGTCACAGCTGGTGCTTTACAACTGCACCTACAGTCCAGCTTTATTTGCTGGTTCATCAGATATATGAAATATATGAGTCTCTTGGATGTTTTTTTAATTGTTGTTGTTGTTGGTCATGGGGCTTGAACTCAGGGCCTGGGCTCTGTCCCTGAGCTCTTTTTACACAAGGCTAGCACACTACTACTTGAGTCACAGTTCCACTTCTGGTTTTCTGGTGGTTAATTGGAGATAGGAGTGTCACGTACTTTCCTGCCAGAGCTGGTTTTGAACTGTTATCCTCAGATCTCAGCCTCTTGAGTAGCTAGGATTACAGGCATAAGCCACCAGAACCAGACCACCTTTATTTATTTACTTTTTGTTGGGGGAGGGAGGCAAAGTTTCGCTATGTAGCCTGTTGTCCTTGAACACAAGACTCAAGATCATCCTGCCTCCTACTAAGTGCTGACATTAGTCAACATACTCTGCTCTTTATCTTTGGCCTCTCTATTTAAAAATTAACATTTAAAATTGGATATGAATATCCAATTGTACTCTATTAATCTGGCTGAAGATCACTAGAATCTGCAAAACCTATTTGGAATGATTTATAGTATATCTGTTTTTTGTATTTGCTTTTTCTGTATTGCCTTTAAAAAAAAACTATCTGGTTTTTTACTGGTATTAATCTTTTGTTCTATTGCTATTGCTTTAGTGTTAACTTTTTTGTTTTATTCTTTTTTTTTTTTTTTGCCAGTCATGGGGCCTAAACTCTGGGCCTGGGCGCTGTCCCTCAGCTCTTCAGCTCAAGGCTAGTGCTCTACCACTTGAGCCACAGCGCCACTTCCAGCTTTTTTTTTTTTTTTTTTTTTTTTTTTTCTGCTTATGTGGTGCTGAGGAATGGAACCCAGGGCCTCACGCATGCAAGGCAAGCACTCTACCACTGAGCCACCTTCCCAGCCCCTAGTGTTAACTTTTTTGATCCTTTCATAGTTCCTTGGTTTCAGATACTTTCAGTTCCTACTCTTCTCTGAGTCTTGGAGTTGCTAGTTGTACTGTATTTTTTTTCAAACATCTATAGAAACGCCTTTAAATATATTCAGTATTTTAAAATATATATCCTTCTAATACAAAAACAAATATGGGGCATAATCACTTAACATTTTAATAAATGTGCAAAATGCAAAGAATAGAAAAACACCACTGTCCAAGACTCCCTATCCTTAACCTGTTACAGGTCAGTTTTGAGATAGGAACCCGTAAGTCATCCACATAGATGTTGTTTTTATTTTATCAATTTTAGACCAACATTTTCTACAAAACTTTGGACCTAAAGGACCAAGAAACACATCTATACTCCCCTCTTTCTTTCTAATTCTAATTTCAGTTTAGCAAGTATTTCTTGAATGCCTACTTCTAGGCCCCGTGCTAGGCAGCAATGATTAATGCTGAATGGCACCAACAATTTATAAAGATCAGATTACCTGTGTCAGAAGACTGGAGAAAGTGAAGCAGAGCATTTAAGCAGAGATGATGATTGTATAAAGATTCAGAAGCAAGAGGAAGCTTACCACTTTCTGGACTTGTAGATGTTAGTCTTTATGGTTGATTCCTAGGAGAACAGAGAAAGGAATGGTTGGAAAAATAAGCAAGGGCCAGATCCAGAGATATTTAGGTTATCATGCCAATGAGCTTAGATGTGAAGGGTATAACAATATAATTATCTTTCCACATTGGTAAATAAGAGATTCCATAGAAAGAAGTTTTCTGTTGTAACTGAAACATACCCAATTTGCCAGAGTTGCCAGAGTATTTTTTTTTTTTTTTAGCTCTTAAGGAACATCTTTTTAAACAGAGCATACTAAATATAGATTAACTTTTTCAAAACTTGGGCTTCTATGCTAGCATTATTTTCTTTTCCCTTTGATACCATAGCTTTTTCCTATTCACAATGAAGTGAGTTGCATCATTTCTTATTACTGTAAGTATACTATATACTTATGTAGAAATTTAAACAAAAAAGTTTATGGAAAAAAGTAAAAGTCACTTAAAGTCAACTTTATACAGATATGATATGCAAGACTATCTCACACCAGGTTGCTTATTTGCTTACCAGTCTACCTAACTTCTAAGTTAATATCATGTCTGATTGTTATTTTGTTCTGGCTCTTTTATTATCCATTACTGTGACAATGAGGTCTTTCCCTGTCATTGAAAATATATATCACGATACTCTTCAGATTTATGGCTCATAATCACAAGGGTAATCTAAGAAAACAACAAAACTTCTTCGTTTGTTTTTTTTTTTTTTTGGTCCGGTCGTGGGGCCTGAACTCTGGGCATGGGCACTGTCCCTCAGCTCTTCAGCTCAAGGCTAGCGCTCTACCACTTGAGCCACAGCACCACTTCCGGCTTTTTTCTTTTTGCTTATGTGGTGCTGAGGAATCGAACCCAGGGCCTCTGGCATGCAAGGCAAGCGCTCTACCAGTGAGCCACCTTCCCAGCCCACAACAAAACTTCTTAAGACATGTTTATTTGGGCCATTAAACTAATTAATAGCTTAGTAGCCCAAAGACACAGACCAGTTAGGATTTCAGATAGTGGATAAAGAAATGAAGTCCTGGCTAACTGCGTTGTTATTTAATATTGACATTGAGTCTGAAGGAACTGGTTGAACTTGTTTCATGACTAGAATATAAAAGTATACTCGAGATCTTTAGTAGTATAACACCTAACCTATATTGAAATTTCAGGATCATGATCTGAAAACAGCCACATGACATTCTTAATGAATTTATATTTTTCATTATGCTACTTTACTTTGTGAACCTCCTCACCAAAATGTACGTTTGTGTATATGTATGTTTAATGTACCTCATGAGTACCAGCCAAACTTTAAAATCCAGGTCAGCTGATGACACTTTTGTGACCTTTTTTTCCTCTCCTAGATGAACACACACCCCTCCCCCACAGAGCTGGCACCCTTCCTCCTTAATTTTCTAGTTGTGCTCATCATTGACATTTAAGACTTAATAGAACACTACTTGTTTACTACCCCCCTCCCCCCCAAATATCCTTTTGAGAGTAGTGGATTCATCTTTGCATCCCTTATCCCTTTCCAAAGTGAGGTGCACAACAGGTATTTAATAGCTAGAGGGCATTCTGCCATAGAAACTGTTGATCATCAGAGCTTCTGACTGAATCATACCTGCTTTATAGTCCTTTGGCAACCATATAAAATCTAGTCACGATTATTTTCCTTGGAGACAACAAAGCCAGATTTACTTAAGACCTAGTAAACTCTACACAATCTATTTCATAACACACAAGGTCTTAAAATTGCAGTGAGCTGGTATGATTGCTTACATTATCATCCTAGCTATCTAGGAGGCTGAGATAAGAGGATTATAATTTGAGGCCAACCCAGGAAAAAAAAAGTCGTGAGACCCTATCTCAGCAAGTTAGTGCAGGTCTGTAATCCCAGCGATAAAGAAGGCATATGTAGGAGAATTGAGAACTTAGGTGGCCCAGGCAAAAGTATGAAACTCTATCTGAAACTTAAGAGAAAATAAACAAGACTGAGGGCCTAGTTCAATTGGTAGAGCACTTGACTAGCAAATACAAGGCTCTGAGTTCAAACCCCAGTACTGCCACACACACACACACACAAAGGAAAAAAGAAAATTGTGAAACAAAATTATAGTGAGTTATTTGAGTAATTTTGAAAAATATTGTATGTTTGAAGACCTGAGCATCACAAACATGCTCTTGGGAATAGACAGTAGTAAAGGCTTATATTTTTACACCATAGACTACAATTTTAAGGACATCTGTTACTTTGGTAACTTTTTTTGTTTTTTAAAGTAAACTTACCAGATCCTAGTGAATCACACCTGTCATCCTAGCTACTTAGGAGGCTGAGAACTAGAAGATCACAGCTCGTAGCGAAGCCCAGCAGAATAGTCTGAGAGGCTTCATCTTCAATGTAACAAGCAGAAAGCCAGGTCGGAGATGTGGCTCAAGTGGGAGAATGACAGCCAAACATGCAAGCCAAGCAGGCAAGAAGCTCAGAGTTAAAAACCCTGGTACCAGGCAAAAAGAAAAGTAAACTCATTGATAGATTAAAATAATCAAATAAATCATGTATGATATTTTAAAACAACATTTGTGTCATATACTTTACCCAACTTTGTGCTTTTCATTTACAATTTTATATTACAAAAATAGCTAAATTTCGTTTCTTTTTGAATGGTGTCCCACTGATGGGCTTGAGACAGAGAAATGACATCATAGCTTGCCCTACTGTTGGCACAGAGGCAGAATCTAGGCCAGGGTGTATAACTAAGGAGCCCTAGACTCTTAAAAACACCTTCATGAATGTCGTGATGAGTTGCTTTATTTATTTTTCCTTTGTTACATAGTTTTTTTTTTTTTTTTTATTTTCTTAGGTCTGTATGCTTTGTTCTGTGGGCTATCATCTTTTTTCCTGCCATCGGTCAGAAAAAACCTGTCGAAGATGGATGGCATTAGATTATGCCGGAATTTCTATTGGAATACTGGGCTGCTATGTCTCAGGAGTGTTTTATGCATTTTATTGTAATAATGTAAGTAGTTCAAAGTGTTGCACATTCTGTCTTTTCTGTAGATCTTGGATTTTCTTGCAGTGGTTCCTTTGAATTTCTGAGTACATAATTAGTACATCTAATATCACTTCTGTACTTTAATATATTACTAATTTTCCATTGGAATAAAAAAGTACATAGTTATTTATAAAACTTACTGTGAATATTGAATTACCATGTTTCCACTAAATCCACATAGCTACCGTTGCTCAGACACTCACATTGGATTAACTTCTTAGTGAAGAAAATAAAGGTTAATGTATGTATGTGCAGACCCCTGATCTATAAGACCACATAAGGCATCATTTGTTGTTCTGAGTTCTGGTCAACTCTACTTTCTGTCCCTGTGATCCCAAAAGTCATTTTTTTTTTTACCTTGTACAAAGCAGTATTTGTGACTGTGATCAGATAATACATCATCTGACCTAAAATGTCAGCCAACCAAGCATTGTGGAATATAACTAATTCATTACCTCATGTTCAACCAGTGAGCAAACTCAGTCTTCCCTTGCAGAAAATGCTGTAAATCTGGACATATGATACTTGCCTATAACCTAGCACTCAGGAGGTTGAGGTAGGAGAATTGTGAGTTCAAGGCTGGCCTAGGCTGTATAGAATGACTACATCTCAAAAGAAAAATAAAAGTCCCACTGACTCTACTGTAGTTTTTTCCTCCTGTTCTTCTACTATACTTTTTGTTTTTTGTTTTCTCTTTCTTACTTTTCAGAGCCAAAACTGTGCTTCTTCTTTGGGAGTAGTACACCTACTATCTAGTCCTTTTCACAAGGAATGTAACATGACCTGCCCAACCCTTCTTCTCTAAGGTGCTCTAAGCCACAGTCCTCAGCAGTCATTTATTGTGAAGATTGGCTCAGCACAGATTCTTTGGGATTCTGAAACAGATCCTTTGTATCCTTTCTGTGATGACAGAACTGTCAGCATAACTCCTGCCTGGACTGGCTTTGAACCATGATCCTCAGATCTCAGCCTACTGTGTAGTTATTATTACAGGCGTGAGCCACTAGTGCCCAATAAAACTGTGTATATCTTTTTTGTAAAAAAATTTAGAAGGAACATGCTAATTACTGGCTTAAAATTGTTGTGATGTAATTTAATTATTTCCTCATTCTGTATTTCCCTGGTTTGTTTTCTATTAACTTTTTCCTAAACATCAAAGCGGGACCCTAGAGAAAGAGAAGGAACTACTCTAGTTAATACATGCCATGTTTGTGTAAAGGAAAAATTTCATTCTTCCTTCTAGTTTCTAACTATTTCCAACTATTCAGTTGCTTTTGTTCTGTTCTTTACCTTTTAAGGAACATAAACTGCTTTCAGAATGAGACTAAAAACTATGGGCCCTTCATTCAGGAGAATATATATTTGGGCACACACCTAAACAGTCTGACGTGAGATTTCAGGAAGTGAAGAGCTCTGTAGAAGTTCTAGTAGTGCAGGTTAAGAACCTTTGTTCTGTGTGATGTTAACTTTTGAGCTTCTAGATCAGCTTGTCAATGACTCACATAGAGCTCTTCATATTTTAAAATGAATATTCTTTCACACTCCCTGTCCTTTCCCCCGGACACTCCACATATGAATCATCTATGATCATTTATTCCATTACTGGAAACCATTAATGTGGCCTTTCAAGCTAGAAAGACTCAAGCCCTATCCTGCTATTCTCTCACATTTAGCCAGCCATTGAGACTTTATCAGGCCTTCAGAGGCATTCAGAAATGCTCTGAATCTGGTATTCACTTCTCAGACCCATTCTCTCTTTAGTAAACTCCCAGTGTCTTTCTGACTGGATTTTCTCACCTTTTTTACCCCAGTAATCTTTTTATAATAAGGTAGTTTGAAAATACTATATCATCCCCTTCTTAAACAATACCTAGTGTCAGCAAAGTAAAGTTTAGAATCTTTAGCCTGACCTCAATGATCTTCAGTAGGCCCTCTCCAAATGTCTGTCTGCATTTGCTGTATTTATTGCTCTCTCAGGTAATATTCATTGTTCTCTCTCCAGTGGTTCTAACAGCATGATTTGGAACCCAATTATAATACCATTTGATATGATCATTTATTTACATATCTGTCCCTCCCTGAGTCTATTAACTCACTCACTGAGAGAGTCCTTGTTATAATCAGCCTTGAAGCTGGGCTCTGGTGGCCATACCCATGGTCCTAGCTATTCAGGAGGTGAAGATATGAGGATCACAGTTTGAAGCCTAGGCAGGAAAGTCCATGAGACTTTTATCTTCAATTAACCACCAAAAAACTAGAAGTAGAGCCATGGCCCAAGTGAGAGAGTGCTACTTGTTTCTACATAGCTATGTGTTTGACATATAACAGAATAGGTATACAGAAAGTGTATATGTAGGGATAATTTTCTTTTACCAGCTCCCTTTGGAGTTTGGTTTGTCAGCCTTGAGAAACTTACAATTACATGGAACATAACCTTTTTTTAAAGAAGGAGAATAATCTTGTTTCAGAATGAAAATACCAGGAAAATATTTGTGCCATATATAATAATATAATATATAATAATATAATAATATAACTTCCTTCAATTACAAGTTTATTTTCTTTTGTTTTAGTATTGGCGCCAAGTGTATTTGATCACCGTGCTTGCTATGATCCTGGCAGTGTTCTTTGCACAGATCCATCCCAATTATCTTACACAGCAGTGGCAGAGACTCCGCTCTATCATTTTTTGCTCTGTTTCGGGATATGGCGTGATCCCTACTCTTCACTGGGTTTGGCTTAATGGAGGAATTGGTGCACCTATTGTTCAGGTAGGTTAAGTGAAGTTGGTATTTCCCTTAATTTTTTTTTGTCATTCTTGTTTATTTCTTTTTATAGAGTAATATAATTAGGCCTTATGAGTGATATTGTGACACTTAAGAGCATATCTTTAATGGCATATTGACATCATAATTTTCACTTCTCTCAGCAGTAATGTTAAAAGGTAGACTATAATGTAGTACCTCTAAAATTCACAGAAAAATTTAACCCAGAATTCTTTTCTTTTTTTTTCTTTTTTTTGGGGGGTTCTGGTTGTGGGGCCTGAACTCTGGGCCTGGGTGCTGTCCCTCAGCTCTTCAGCTCAAGGCTAGCGCTCTACCACTTGAGCCACAGTGCCACTTCCGGCTTTTTTCTTTTTGCTTATGTGGTGCTGGGGAATCGAACCCAGGGCCTCATGCATTGCAAGGCAAGCACTCTACCACTGAGCCACCTTCCCAGCCCCCCAGAATTATTTTCTGAGCTGAATTATACATGTCATTTTTGGGAAATTACACTTTTAGGTAGCAGAATGTAAAGCTTTACACAGCTCTATTAGTTAAATACACCTTTCAGAATTAAGGCAAAGTCTAATTATTCTTGGTTCTGAGATGTCATTTCTGTTGAACAATACATTCTTAGTTCTTTTTCTGTTACCATTACTATGTAAATATCTAAATCCTTATCTTGGGAGAACTTCAGAGTTTCTAGCTTCTCTGCTGTGCTAGAAGTAATGCGAAAGATAACCAACAGGAGCAATTGATTTTTTTACCTGGGGATGGGGTAGGAATTGGGAAGGACTTTTTTGGTTTGAGGTTCCTATAGCATATAAAGACAGACATAGGGTCTAAACTTTAGGCCAGAGGATCATCAGGTAGCTGGAACCAGGAAAACATAGTTAACCCACCAAGGAAAATATACTAAGAATAGAAGAAGAGTTATTAAATTCAGGTACAATAGGGGAAGTGTGTGTGCATTAGGAAGAACCTCGGTGACAGCTAAGCATTTATACAAAGAGGATTAGAAATAAAGACATTCCTTATAGGTCCTTAGTAAAATGTTCTAAATATGAGCTAGAAAGCAAAACTAAAAATGTTTAAATTAACATAACTAAATGTGCCAGGAAAACTGGCAGAAATCACACTTGTTCGCTGGGACCTATGTATGGAAAGTGAGAGTTTAAAGGCAGGGTTGTTCCAAAAGCATCAGTTTAGTACAATTGGAAGGACTACTGGGCTTACATTCAATCACAAGAAGCTGGCAGTATGATAGAGAAAAGTATGAGTAAACCACTGAAAGAAAAAGGAAGTTATATGACAGTGAATTGAGTGCAGTGATCTGGCTAATCGAAAGACAAAGGTAGTGATTGTCTGGATAATTAAGAAATTGAGAAAAATTTGCAATTAGTAGCAGTTATGAGAAGCACAGGTGATTCTGCAATTTGTAAAAACATCATTTCTCAGACAATTTGATCCCCAAGAATAAGAAATTACAAGGGGAAACTACCACCCTTGACTTAATTCTAACCAGAAGTGATTCATTGCTAATGTGGAAGTGATTAATTCCTATATATAGACAATAAATCTCTATTAAGCTTATAATGATAAAGAAAAGGAAAAAGACCTATTAAGCCAATAGATTTTAGAGAAATTCAGAAAAAAATGAGACTATTTCCATATCTGCAAATCTTAAGATATATGACTAGATAGTGGTTCTCAAAGATGAAATTCCTGTATGATTACAGGTCAACATTAGAGTGAGAGCAAAGAGAAGCTTTCAGAGATTAATCTCATTTTGGAAGGAGAAAAGGTAGAAGGGCCAAAGAGCATATATGTACACACACACACACACACACACACACACGCACGCACGCACGCACAATCTGAAGTTCTCCATTTACCCTGCCCCCCAGGTATCCACAGCTGTAGTTGAGCTCTACATGAAGGCATGATTGTGCCTTCATGGTGGACAACGAGTCCATCTATGACAGCTGTCATAGAAATCTGTATATTAAGCATGCAACCTACACTAACCTTAACTACCTATTAGCCAGATTGTGTCTTCCATAGAATAATGAAACCCATCAAACACTGTTTTAGAAAGTTGAGGAGTGAGAAGTATAAAGGAATGATGGAAGTGGTAAACTTAAATTTGTTCAAAGTCCTCTGTAGTCACCTGTGGACATATGAAATCCTGTTATACTATAATGTGTGCTAATGAAATATTCACAGAATAAAAAGAAAAGTATAGAAATTAGACCACTAAAGAAGATACAGAGTTCTGGAAGAGTTGAGTAGAAGTTTGAAGCATTGACTGGAAATTTTGTTTTAGAGAGTGTTAAAGAATTCTGAGGCTGATTAATCAGAAGGCTCTGAGTTAGAGAGAGTAATAATTCTCAGAAATTGAATGTACTTGGGGTACAGTCGGTTTGTAATCAGAATTAGAAACGTACATATTATGGCTGAAAAATCATATTTAAAAGTCATTGATCTGGGATCTTGGAAGAGATTCTGTTATGGGCAATACTGTTTAGTCCTTTTCCTGCATGCAGCATTTCACCGCTATACTTACATTGTAGGGTTGTTGAATATCCTCAGGATCTTAAACAGTGTGGAAGCTCCAGTTCCTTTCATAGCCTAACCTTTACAACATCACTGTGTTCTGTTTCTGTGCCCTGCTTCCTATAGCAGGAAAGCAAGAGATTTAGCTACTGGAGATTTTCTCAGAATAATTCAGGTTTAGCAACCCTAAATTTCACCGCTGTGCTCATAATGAATTGAGAATTCAGTAACAATACGAAAATGTGTAAAACATACAAACAACTTTTTCCGCCCCCAGGACTTTGCACCCCGTGTAATTGTGATGTATGTGATTGCTCTTCTTGCTTTCCTATTCTACATTTCCAAAGTCCCAGAAAGGTATTTTCCAGGTAGGTGTTTATTTTTTCATGGTTTTGTAGCTTAATATATCAGGAGTAAATGCTTTAGAGAATTAAAACTTAGATGTATATTTTTTAATGTTTTGATTATGAAGTAATTGTTTTTTTCCCCAGATATTACCTGTAACTTTACCTTTCCAGATGCATTCACAGACTTTCCCTTTGGTTGGCAGAGTTTCCACCGTCTTACAGTTACAAACCAATGACAAAATTGACTCAGTCTCCATTCGTTTTTTTAAGAAAATTCAGATATTAATCATGTAATATTTTCTGAATTAATTTTTATGTGTGGAGCAAGAAATAAGGAAAGTACAGAGACAAAAGGAAGTCAGAGAAGGATGATGAAAAGAGGCCAGGTTTAAGCTCATTTTACAGTACAGTAGTGCCCCCTTATCTGTAATTAGGTACCTGTAATTACCACAGTTCATTATATTAATACCTGTTTAGAGTCTTTGAAGGGAGATCATATGCATAGAACTTTTACTACAGTATATTGTTTTGCTTATGTTTTACTATTCATTGTTAATCTCTTACTATGCCCAATTTGTAAATTTTTTATCATAAGCGTGTAGGAAAAAATAGTTTATGTAGAATTTCATATTGTCAACAGTTTCACTCATCTACTGAGGAGTATTGAAATGTATTCTTCATGGATGAGAAGGGACTATTGGATATACATCTTAAGGTTCTATAAAATAGGTAAAGACAAAAGTAAGATGTTCAGCTACCTGATGTCTCGATTTGGAGGACTATGAGTCAGGGAGAAGTCTAAATATAAACTGCAAACTTGCCCACCTCTTTCTCTTTAGGTTAAGAGTTATTTCCATAGTGAACTGGAGATGGCATTGTATCACTCTTTACATGTGCTGAGGAAGTGGCTGAGGAACCTTGGTCTTGAGAATGAGTTCTCCCACTATGCTCAGATGTTCCTCTCTGTGCTTTAAATACTGAGTTTTAAATAAGAATGAGAACACGGTGTATAGAAGAACCTACGTGTATAGAATTTGAATTTGGATATATAGCTAGATATATCCCCAAGTTGATTTTTTTATTACTCTATTATATGATAGTCTTCAAATTCTGGATCTAGAAAAATAGCTCTACTGCTAGAGCCACCTTCAAGCTCTGGGTACTGGGTTTGGTCACCAACATTGCAAAAAATAAAAATAAGAAAATACATAGATAGAAAAATAATAATTTAAGAAAATATATACATATATGCATTAAAATTCTGGTTTTGCAGCACAGTCAAGTAAGAATTTGAATTATGAAAATGTTTTTATACCATGTAATTATGGCCATGTGTTTTCCACCCTTAAAATATTTAGATCAGAGGTTAAGAATTGTGGAATATAGGGTACTTTTAAAAGATCAGTATGTACCATTCCTCCAAGATGAGCTTGATGTGCATGTAGCTGACTGTGTGGTTGTATGCAGGTACATGAGAGCCTGGAAGACAGTGCAACTATAAACAATTTAGTCTTAAGTGATAGTATTAAGTTTTCACTTATATGACACCTTTCATGCATGAAAGTGTGGGAACTACAAAAACAGTGGATATTAAGAAATTATTAGAATTAATCCTGAAAACTTAAATTCAGCTTAGGTGTTTTTGTTCCACAGTGGTCTTTGATGGGTTCAAGGAACTCCAACCTGAAAGAATTGAGTGGTTTTCTGATGCATAAGATAGTCTATTTTCTTTGTAATCTTTTGTATTTTTAAGAATGTATCTGTAGACTTAACTCTATAGTTCAGTGGACTTGGGGTCATCAGAGAAAGACTTTAGACCCACACAGAAAGAATCCCATTTCAGATACATTTTTTCTATTACCAGTTAGTTGTACACGGAGTTTCCATTTTAACCTGTTCAGTTTTGTATTCAGTGCATCCTGATCATCCACTCCCTCCATCACTCCCCTCTTTTCCCCCTTTCTTCCCAAATCAGTTTCATTTTCATGCTCCATTATTCTTTAAAATCTATGTTGTGTTCTGATTATTCCTATTAAGAATAAGAGGAAGGTAAGTACCAGTGGTTCATGCCTGTAGTCCTAACTACTCAGCAGGCTGAGATCTGAGTATCAAGCTTCGAAGCCAGAAACTTTTAACCTCCAATTAACCAACAAAAAGCCAAAAGTGCAGATGTGGCTCAAGTGATAGAAGCACCAAGTTCAAGCCTCAGTACTGGTGCACATGCATGTTCACACTCAAAAGAAAAAGAAAGGAAAACAAATGAAGAAAAAGTTTACAGAATGCCAACAATGGAGAAGAGTGCGGCTGAAATCAGGAGAGAAACTCTATAGCTCCACAAAAAACAAAATATTTAGGAATTAACCAAAGAAGTGAAGAACCTCTATGATGAAAACTTTAAAAACCTGAAAAAGGAAATCAAAACAGAACATAGAAAGTGGCAAAAACTCCCATGCTCCTGGATTGGAAAGATCAACATCGTAAAAATGGCAATACTTGCAAAGGCTATCTACAAATTCAATGCGATACCTATCAATATTCCAACCTCATTCTTTATGGAAATAGAAGAGGCAATCCTCAAAATTCATATGGAAAAATAAAGGACCCGAATAGCAAAAACTATCCTTAACAGAAAGAACAGAGCAGTAGGAATATCAATACCAAATTTCAAACTCTACTACACAGCCATAGTAATCAAAACACCTTGGTACTGGCACAAGAACAGACCTCAGGACCAATGGAATAGAATTGAAAACCCAGAAATGAACCCACAGACCTATAGCCACCTAATCTTCGATAAGGAAGCTTAAAAAAATGGAATGGAAAAAAGACAGCCTCTTTCTTCAGTAAATGGTGCTGGCAAAATTGGTTAATCACTTGTAGAAAACTAAAGCTAGATCCTTATATATTGCCCTGCACCAGAATCAACTCCAAATGGATCAAAGACCCCAGAGTCAAAACAGACACCCTGAAAACATTACAGGAAGGAATAGGAGAAACCCTAGGTCTTGGCACAGGCCGAAATTTTCTCAATAGAGACCCAGAAACACAACAAATCAAAGAAAGGTTAGACAAATGGGATTGCATGAAGTTGCAGAGCTTCTGCATGATAAAGGACATAGCTAGCAAGATCAATAGAAAGCCCACAGATTGGGAGAAGATCTTTACTAGCCATACAACGGACAAGGGTCTCATATCTAAAATATACTGGGAACTCAAAAAATTAAATCCCCCAACAACAAATCCTCAAAGAAACAATTGCCCAATAAATAAGTGGACTAAACACTTAAAGAGAAACTTCTCTGAAGAAGTGCCCACCCTCTCTAGCCATAAAAGAAATGCACATCAAAACCACATTGAGATACCACTTCACCCCAGTTAAAATGGCTATAATCAAGAACTCTAATAACAACAGATTCTGGAGGGGATGTGGACAGAAGGGAACCCTACTGCATTGTTGGTGGGAGTGTAAACTTGTTCAACCACTTCGTAAAATAGTATGGAGGTTCCTCAAAAGACTCCACATAGAGCTCCCCTATGACCTTTCGGGCATTTACCCAAATGATCACAAACAAGACCATACTAAAGCTACCACCACAACTCTGTTTATTGCAGCATTATTTACCATAGCTAAGATAAAAAACCAACCCAGATGCCCCTCAGTAGATGAATGGATCAAGAAAATGTGGTATATATACACAATGGAATTCTATGCCTCCATCAGAAAGAATGACATTGCCTCATTTGTTAGGAAATGGAAAAAGTTATATTAAGTGAAGTAAGCCAGGTGCAAAGGTCCCATAGGTTTCCCTTATTTGCAATAACTAGTATATATCTGACACAAGCAGAAAAGGTCAGATAAGATAATGTTAAGTGAAATGAACCCCAAGATAAGGACACAAGTGTTTTTTTTTTCTTGCTTGCTATTGTTCCTAACATATTTATAAGGTACCACATGATTTTGTATGTCCCTCCCCCACTGTTTTCACTGTATTTGATGTTGGTATAATTGGGGGAGCAGAAGGGAAAAATAAACTTGTTTAGGGGTACAGGTTGACCTATTGCAACAATGAAATGTACAAGAGGCTATGTAGAAAAATGAACTTTACACTTTAGGGTGGGGGGGGGAGAGGATGTAGGTGTGGAGGTAGGAAGGAAGGGATGGCAGGGGAAAAACAAACGAGGAGGCAACAATGCTTGATAAGAAATGTACTCATTACTTTGTTCATGTAATTGTAACCCCTCTGTACAGTATTTTCATAATAAGAAACATTTAATGAGAAAAAGTTTACAGAATATTTACTTAAATTTCATGACCCATAGAAGCAGTATGAGGAAGAAAATTTTAGACTTAGTTATTGAAACTTTACATTTTGTTATTTATTGAAAAAGATCAAATTCCCAGGGAAAATGGAATTTAGCATTTCACTATTTAACCCATTCATAATTGCAGAATTTTGCAATTATTGCATTTGTTGGCAGAAGATTAAGGTGTGTGATTTCTTCTTGCATACCTGTTCACAAAGTGCTTTTAGCAGGTTTATATCTAAATATAGCAGTGCATCTGCTGCTTTCAAATTCATACCTGAGTCACTCCATGATTTGTAACATGGATTTCTTTTGCCTCTCTCATGTAATAATTTTTCCCATTGTAAGTCATAGGAGGCAAAAAAAAGTCAGATTCTAAAACACTAGGAACAGCATTTCTAAACTTCACCTGTGTGCTTACTGAATGAATCCTTCAAGTTCGACCTACATATGTTTTTTGCCTTTTTAAAAAGGACTTGATTTGAGTTACTAGTCTCCCAAGCCTTTAAGCTATCAAAATGTTTTCTACTTCTAAGCTATATTTTCAAAGTCAATGATAGAAATACATCTTTAACATTGAAATAGTGCAGTGAACACTAATTTCTTTTACTTTCTCTTTCAGGACAACTAAACTACCTCGGATCAAGCCACCAAATATGGCATATCCTTGCAGTAGTGATGTTATATTGGTGGCACCAGTCAACTGTGTATGTCATGCAGTACAGACATAGCAAGCCTTGTCCTGACTATATTTCTCATTTGTGAATTCAGGTATGGCTACCTGGCAAATTCAGTTGTTGAGCAATATTCAGTGGGGGAGTTGTAGACCCCACTATTTCTAAGGTTTCCATTAGTTTTTTTTTCTCTTACCTCTTGCTTTATGTATCATGAGTAAGGATTTATGAACATATGAAAGTATACTTAGGCTCTGAAGTAATAATTGCTTTACAGACCCTTAATACTACAAATTTGCTGCTTACATGAAAAGTGAAAATTAGTGGGCCATCTTAAGATATATCTGGATGGCAACACTGAATGTTAAATTAAACCCATTTTACTTTACACCAGCTTAATTTTCTTAGGAAGGGCTCATTTCCAATGAATGACAGATTACATAGTCATCTTGAGTGATGACTTTAATAGATGTTTTCATTAAATTATCAAACTTAAGTGCCTAATCAAGGCAATGATTGTTATAGCCTATGCTTATTATTACAAGTGAAAATAGTAATTTTGAATAATCATGGCCTTTAAATGAATGGTTATGAAAAACTGGCACTTAAGGTACTTCTTTAGCTATAGATTCTCTTCTTCTTAGAAATACGCTGAGCTTTGGGGGTTTTGCCAAGACAAAAACTTGAAACTTCTCCTTGGAGAGAGATTTTCACATGCATTGCTATTTCTTTATCATGTAATAGTCACACAGGAAACGAAGGACATGGTCTACTTAGTAACAAAATAATTATCCACTTAAATCTTTTAATCCCAGGTATTGTTTAATTCTATATTACAATTGAATTCTTGAGAGTGGATTTGAGGAGATCTCAGAAGAACTTTCAGCTCTTAATTTGTAGTCCTAAACTTCATAATGAAGGTTTCAGCTATCTGGGTGCTACTTTCAAGGCCATAGGATCTTGACCCTGGAATGAACCTTAAGCCTTAGAACACTCATGCAAATACCCCATTTAATGATATTCTCTTATACTTTAGTGTTCTGTCTGTGCATGTGTTAGCATTACATTCATAGATAACTCGAAAGTATAAATGCAATCTAAAATTTGGACTTGAAGCATTAACCTTGCTCTTGTTTATACATATTTCACTGCCCGATTATACAGTGTAACTCCTTTGTTCTTTGCTCTTCCCATATGCATAAAATTAAATCCTTTATTGAATTTATAAAAATATACCTTGTTTATTATAAAATACCATCAGAACTTCTTAATGAGTTGGCAAGTTCTTTTAAATACTGCTGTTTTAAGACAGTGAAAGTTAACTGGATATCATAAAAAACTTACTTTGAAGTTTATCCTAAAATGTTTCCTGTACATCCAGCATTTGGAAAGTTATAATGTACCTCAGTTTATGCTTCTGTACAACCTTGTTTCTTTCTAGTGTAGTGTTGCTGGATTATAAATTCCCAATGCTAGCACTGCACAAGGGGAATTTTCTCAGAGTAGGCTCAGTGCAGACACACTACAACATAACCATTTTGGTGGAATGCTACTTTGAAAATGGCTATTATACCTCATTAAGGCCACCAATTTGTGTGCTAAGTATTAGATTTTGATGTAACAACAGTAGGATAAAATGCTTGTAAATACGTACTGAGTCATTTCGGCCATGTGAAATACACTGATTATTAATCAAAAAGTGAGAAGAAAGTTATTCTAGGTGTAGGACCATTTTTATTGTAAGATCTCAAAGATTAAAAGCACTGATTTACTTTGTTTTATTAATTCTTGGGGATTTTTGGTCATAGTGTAGGAGTTATGTAATATTAACCTGTTAATACATAAAAAAAGAGCATATTGTATTTTTAAACAATAATTTGAAATTTGAAATACATACTGGTGTGACTGTAGGGAAAATTATGCCATGTAAACATTTCAATGCTTTATGAAAATGTTAAATGTAAGAAAAGCGACCTTTTCATCTTTTTATCTTTAGTCTGATGTATTTATTATAAGGAATGAATATGGACTGTCGCGAAGGATACTTATGTATTTCAGCATTTATTGACCAATCTACTGTGTGCATAGCACTACTGGTAAAATTTAAGACATTGTTAACATTAAAGAATATTTAAAAGTTGCCTACATATCTGAGCCTTGTAATAATGTATTTTTGTTTTTTAGCTTATTAAAATGATTAAACACATATTATTGGAGCTACAGTATTAAAAAGACTGGTTTTAATTTTACTTATGTGGAAACTAAAGTTTTTACCCATAGACTTTGCAAGGATTTTTCAGTTATCTATAGCTGTTTTAAATTATATAGAGTTTTATTTCTCACTTAAGAAAGTCATCTTTATATATAAAGCCATTTTCAAATAGCAAGAGTTTTGTCATTTTTTTATTATATTGAGTACAATTCAGTAAGCTGCATGGCAAAATGTATTAATGTAAATAAACTGGGTTTACTAAATATATTAAGTGCTGCTTGTCATTTTTATAATACATAAAGGCTTTAACATCATATTCTAGAGTCAGGAATGAAGAATCAGGGATTATCTCTCACATCTTATGGCATCCCACATGGACAAAGTATCCAATGTGAAGATTGTGATTGACTGGCATAGAGCTGTACAACTCTCCATTTGGCAGGTACCTACCAGAGATACACTTTACACTCTAGTAAATGTACAAGAGCAAAGCCTGAATTTCTGGATTCCTGCTGGTTGCTTAAATGAGTAGATTCACACCAACCCAAACAATCCTTCAAAACAAAAGTTTTGAAAAATACATTTAAATATTAACTACATTACACATCTGCTTGAACTAAGCTTCCTTAAGAAGGAAGGCCAAGACAAGTAGCTCAGTTTGCACTATATTATTTTCTAAAGGTTAGCTATAACTGAATTCCAACAGTTGCTACATTGCAAATTGTTCTAATAGGCTGTAATAATTTATGGTATTTTGCTGTGTTGTACTATATAATATCCTTATTTTTCTGTATTACTTTAGGCAGATGTTACTACTTTAAAATGTTCATTTGTAGTCAGATGAATCATGTCCATGACAGAAACTGTCAAAAGCCACCAACTTATAGCCTCCAGTTTGTGGAATGTAAAATACTACAACCCTGACAGCAAGCTTATTCCATCAGCCTGGTAGATAGGTTTCTCTTTAATGTACAGTCTCTTTTCTGACAACAGTCATAAGACTACTATTTAATTTGACTGAAGATTTTTTAAGTTAAGAATGTTAATAGTCTTTTAAGAATTCAAAAAATACCTTATAAATGATGTGAGAGCTATGTCAAATTATTCAATTATTGGTCCTGTATTAAGTGGTGTTCTTGCAAAAAAAAAAATTAGGTCAAAATATGTTTTCTTAAATCCTGCACCACGAATCTTAAAACAGGAGTCTAACTTTAATTTTTTTATGCCACTAGCTGGTAAAAAATAGAAGGAAGGAAGGAAATGAAAGAACTGAATAGATTATATCCACTACATTTAATAAGATAATGAAAACTCCACAGTCACTGATTATAAAGAATAGACAATCCTTTTGGGATTTATTGCATTTAAAGAAAGCAGATTACTAAAACAGTAGGTATGATAAATACAGTAAGAAAATAAACTTCAAACAAGCTGAATCAGGAACAGAATTCAATAATAATCAATGTAAAGGCAATAAAGTAATAAAATTAGTGCTTAGATATATAGGGGGGAAAGCAACTGATTCAGACCAGTTTCCCAGCAATAGTTGAAGACTGAAGTTACTTTAGCACATATATTTCATAACAATTAGGAATATAACAAAGATGTAAATCTGGTTTATTTAAAGGGTAAAGTTATTTGCTTAGTGGTACATAAAAGGCTTCAGAAAATTCAAGTTTAACACAAAATGGAAGTGTAATCAAAAAAAGTGCACTTAAAGCTGTTTTCCAGCAATTAAAAAAGTAGCTTCTATACTGCTATTAGATGACTTTTCAATCACAAAAAATAGCAGAAACAATTCTTTCAAAATCAGCACTATAAATTTTAAAATAAAAATAACCAAAAATAACAATCCTTTACATTTTCATCAACTTTCTTTTAGTGGTTTTTATAAACCCTCTCCAGGAGTGAATGTTATTTTAGATATGATTGTGATTGCAAGTCCATTAAAAAAATTCACATTAACTCCACAGTAGAGAGATGTGATGTGCATGCATGTGTCTATTATAGAGTTGTGTCTTAATATATAAAACACCACTGAGTATAAAAGTTTTCAAATAAACTATCATTTATGTTAATTCTCACAGTAGATATATCATCTCATTCTCACAGTAATTGGACCTAACATAATAAGTAGAGTTACTAAAAAAGAAAAAGTTCACTGCACATTCTACACATATTAAAACAAATGTACCCAAACTCTTCAGAATACTAGTGATTTTAACATACTTGTACCTTCTAACAGTGCTTATGTGAAGTACCAAAACCTAAAAGAAACCCAGCCAGGCAGCTGAGTGGTCAGAAAACTGCTCTGCATAAGGATCAGAAGCATAGAAGAGTGGGCCCCACCTTAGTATTTTCCACCAGCAAGATAAGAACAAGTCTATAAACAATAGGATCAAAAGGTGCATATACCTGCAGATCAGATGTCATAACTATGCCCAAATACACACATACTCAGGGTTGGCAAAGGTTACACTTCTGAATAAATACTAGTCAGTTACAACTTTTCCTCCTTGACCTATTATATATACACCAAGCAATTTTTGTGTCCTAGCATATACATTCTTTGATGCTATGAAAGCTGATCTTTTAAATACTAACATTTTACTAAAGTAATGAAAGTTGAGCAAATGGTCCACTTTTTTAAAAAAAAGATAATTCAAAATGAATACTATTAAAGCTGTTAGAAAACAACTTTGGCCTCAGTTTTACTAGCTTCATGTTACTTCCTTAGTGATGTTCAAGTATAGCAGGTTTAGAGTTATGACTACATCCCACCCTTAGAAGCACAGAGCACACCCAAATAATGATAGAAATTAATTTTTTCACATTTCTTCTTAAACCAGAATTGGACCATTCCATAACAGAACCACGGAGTGCTCTGTGTGGGATATACTTTCTTCACTTGCCATGGGAATTTAATTCTCATAAGGAAATTAAAAGGCAACAGTTGTAGGGAGTGGCCTACATCTGACTATGCTAGTGTGGAGGTGATGAATAAAAATAAAAAGTAAAATCTCTACACCTTGACAAGATGCCTATAACTTTTACCACAAGGAATTTTCCCAATTTTTGTCCCATTGGATCTCCAGTTAACTCCTAAAACTTTGGGCTACCATCTTGAGAGGAAATGCTATGCTATCATAAAGAGAAAAAACAAACATGTTTTAAGCTGAGAATACTTTGTTTATCCAATATTTTGTCTGAAGTATTTAAAATTATTCAGTGTGTTGAAGAGCAAGTAAAATAATGTATTTCATATTTAGATTCCAAGAAGTTCACAATTTAGATTCCAAGAAGTTCACATTAATTCATCTATCTAAAAGATGAAATCATGAAGCTTAGCAAGGACTATAATTCTGATGTGTACTTCTTAACCAACAGATTCCCATTTTTTTCAGTTCTATTTGAGAGAATCCTATTGTAGGTCATCAGTTTACTATGTATAATCAACTCTTCACTTAAACCTATTTTAAAAGATTAAAAGAAAACCTACTTAGGCATTTGCATTAGCAGTATTAATCAACCTGAGAATAAATAAAAAGGTGCAAACTTATTTCCCTTTGGCATAAGGACAGTTATTGGTGTAGTCCACTCTAAAGCGCTGTAAGTAGTGATACATAATGCTTGATCTGCCTCTGCTACATTGTGATTCACACAGTTTAGCTATCCTGTACTATCTGACATAGCATACAGAAAAACAAAACAAAACATGAGTATGTAGTCAGTTACATATAGTTTGCAAAAACCCAACGAGGGCACTATAATTAAGAGATACTATTACTCATAAAATATTCTTTAATCGGGTGTAGAGAATTAAAAATGTAGCAATCAGGAGAATGCCAGACTATAGTTTCCACTCCTGTTTGTAAATAGCTTTAACAGTTCAAGAAACTTCAAATATTAGTCTACAGGGAAAAACTATAACTTAGAGCAGGAAGCACAAGATACTGTAGTCACATTAATTCATTACACACAATTTCTACAAAACCTCAAGTTTATACTTAGGATTTGTGATACTTTAAAAAAGGCAATTTGGTAGCTGGATTTTTTCCCCTAAAGACACAGTCAGCTAGCAGATGCTAGTCCCTCATGCAACCCTTGAATCCACTGGCAGATGTGGTATTAGTGCAGAGGTACATGAGCAGGATATGCGATTCCTGCCTAATAAGGCTTTATGGGTGTCACTGTTGTGTGCACTATTAAAACTACTCCACCCTCTAAACCAAAGTAAAATGACTGTTGCTCAAAATGGAGAATATATGGCGAAGGTAGAAATTAATAAAGTACATTATTAAATGCAAAATGACGCTACATTGTAAACATTTTAAAAATTCAAGGTTTCAGCTACATTTTTTCCTGAAATAAAAGTTTTATATAATATAATCCTTGTCCTAACTCCCAATTTTTTCAGTACTTTGTTTCATTAAGGACATGATAATAAAACAATATAAAATGTTTCTAAAGTGTTGAATTCTGAATTCTTTTCTTTCCTATCATTATTTTTCAAATGCCAGGTATTTTTCTAGATGTCCATTAGCTATTCCAGGTTTTGGAGATGTCAATGACAAAAATTGTATGTATTTATGTCATTTTGTATGTATTTATGTCATTTATGTATACACTGTAGAGGTCTAAACTGAGCTAATATATACATTATTTCACATATTATTAGATATTCCATATTAATGGCACTTGTTTTTTTTTAATGCAATAGTTTTAGGCACAATAGTTCTGGCTCTGCTTTGTAGAGAAAGGTACTAAAATCTATGCGCTTTCCAGATACCTTGCTAATTTTTTGAGAGAAGTAGATTTTTTTTAATTGTATGGGAATTAGAAGAAACCTTAAATGCAACCTATATATGTACAAATCAGCCTAATATCAAAACTAGTGCTATCCATCTCTCCTGTCCCTTCTCCTGACTACACTAGACAGGTGCCATGGGCTTCCACTGAAGTACTACACCGTGGCGTGGTGTCAGAAACAGAAACCCATAGAGTTTTCAGGTTAGCTCTCATCTCCTTATATGTGGCATCAAAAGTTACTACCCTGTAGATATACTTCCTTTTTCTATTTGGTTTATTTAAAAATCACCTATCCTGATTAACCTGTAAGAATGAATGATACAAAGAGCTATACAAATAAATTTTCTTGTAAATTCACAAAACTATCTCATACTCTTTTGAAACAGGAGTTAATGCAGAGCATCCATCAGAAGTATCTACTGTTTAGAAGGAAATGGAGCAGCACCAAATGGGTCTAATTCGACTGATGGGGCCTGCTGGGACTGATGTGGCGTGATGCTTTGCACCACAAGTTCTGTAAAGGGCACGGCACCAAAGTCATCCATTTTCAACGCTTCGGCACTGTGGAATGACCCATGTAGTGAATTCTGTCTTGGCCGCCCAGGCAGGACAGTATTGTGATCAGCACGAATGTCGCTCAGCCCCTGGTGTGACTGGTGCCAAGACAGGTCTGGAGGATGGAAAGGCTTGGCACCAAAGGGATCCAACAGACTCTCCTCAGGTTGTAGGACATTCCCCCTGTCTTTGCCCTCAGTCAGTGCGACGCTAATGTTCTCCTTGGAGTCTGAGATGGTTAAAAACTCATTGCTGCTCTGAGAGTCTCGGCGGCCCACTTTTTTGTGCCTGCGAGCCCTCTCCGGAGTGCGGTAGGTAGGCTTCAAAGTCTTCTTAGAGCTAGTTGGTGTGCCATGATGCCGCTTCCCGTTACTTTTGGACATATCCTGCTTGGTGCGCCTCTGGCGAGAGGACAGTTTCTGTAAGCTGCGCTGCTTGGCTTTGTGCTGCTGACTCCCAGTTATTTCCTCAAAGGGCACGAGTCCAAAAAGGTCCTCCCTGCTTTCACTTTTACTTGCTGACATGGAAAAGGGTTGAAAGGGAGTGGAGCCAAATATATCTACACTTTGGGAGCGACTAAGGAGAGGACGTGCCTCAGGCCCCACCAAAGAGCAGTCCTGTACACTCATCTTCTTGCTGAAAGGCGCCTTTGTGAACACATCGAATTCCTCTTGCTCTAGTCCCACAGTAGGAAACATCTGGTGAGAGAGATGCCTTTCACGTTCTTGCGGGGGCTGCTGAGTACGTACTGCAAAGAAAGGGACTGCGCCAAAAACATCGAACTCCTGTGTCCGACTCTCTACCCCAACATTGGAGGGTAGATGGATTGGGGTGCAGAGCCCTGTATTAGGATCTTGGGGTGGTCTGCTGCCAGGCTTTTCTCTGTACTCAGTGCTCATGTCACTATACTTTGCTTTAGCCTGCTCATACTCCTCAGAATCAGAGCTGTGTTTCTCCTCTTCCTCCTCATCTTCAGAATCCATGAGGAGAGGCCTATGACCCAGATTTTCTGGTTCAGTATCATCATCATTAAAATCTCCTTGTTCTCCTGGACCCTCTTCATCTTCTTGCTCTTCCTCCTCGCTGCTCTTTGGAGAAGGTGGATCTGATTCGAAATCACTTTCCGAGTCATCATTCCCCTTTTGCCCTTGGCCTCGTACAGATGAATGCTCTGAAGTTTTCTTTCCAGTCCTCTGCTCTTTAGATACTGGACCTGCTTTACCATTTTTGACAGGGCTTGCAGTGCTGTTTTCTTCGTTCATGGATGAAAGTTCAACTTTCTTTTCAGGAGAACCTGTAGGTTCAAAGAAAAATTATTTCAGCATTCCTATGTATTTCAAAATCCAGTTGTACTAAACAAGCATGACATTACAAGCCCTCACACAACTTCCTGCAGAGGAAAAGTAATGTCAATTCTTTGTCATTGTCCTCAATTGAAGGATTAGAGAAATTCAGGCACATACTTTCTCTGCATTTTACATACTCCCAACTTCCAACTTTCAACTCATATTAGTTATCAATAGGTATGCTGAGTTACATGTTTTACTAATTTTAATTAGCATATTGGTATTTGTAAGACAGTACCTTCTGAGTTAGCATGAATATGTAATTCAAGGCAGTAAACAGACTGTACCAAGGGTGCATACATCCTCCTTAAGTAGCATCTATCCTATTTTACAATAAGAGTATGTCTTTAAAGAAAAATATAAATGATCAGTAAGCAAATGATGCTAGTAAGCTAAAGACAGTAATCACACCAAATACAGTGCTCTGCAATTTAACTGTGTGATATGTAGTACATGTAGTATATTTAAATATTGGGATACTAAATTGATCTTTCCAGAAGCAGGAGTGCATTTGTATTGATCCATGTCTTCTCTTGCTTTTGACTAATTCTGTAGGGTTGGAGGTACAACCTGTAGCCATAAAAAATAATTATCTCATGGTGAAGGGATCATTATTTTCCCATTACTAGTAAAGGCTATGTAAAGTAGCACTGCCATATTGCTACAACTCCATAGATCCTTTTTCCCCACTAACATGATAAAAGTATGTGCATTCCAGTGTTTATCCTTGGCCGTTTTTTCTTCTGCATTCTTTCACCAGTGTCTTAACTACTCATATTTGCTGCCAAGTACAGCAAAATTAGTGGTTGAGTTGGGTGCAGTGGCTCAAGCCTGTAATCTCAGCTACTTGGGAAGCAGAGATCAAGGTACTATGGTTCAAGGCCAACCCAAGCAAGAAGTTAAGTTCCCAAAACTCCCTCAAGACCAAGAGCTGGACACAATACAATGGTGTATACTTGTTATCTTAGGAATACAGGACACACACGCACACACACACACTCACACCTGGTGAGTTGTTCAATGTTGGAGTACTTTCCTAGCGAGTACAAGGCCCTGCCACTATTCTCCTCCCCCACTAAACTGATTGGCTGAAATCTTTTAACCCAGATCTTGTTTTAATATTTACCATGAATATTTACCTCCTAAGAATATGTAAATTCAAAAGTTTTAAGTTCTCTTAAGATAAGCTCCTCATCATTTCCTTCTAAATCAGTGAACACAATCTCTACCTTCAAAGGTCCTTAGACAAGTAGAAATCTTATGATCATCTCCTTCCACATCTCCACATCTATTTATTCCTTCATTTTCTCTCACGGACAGATTCAGTCTCCAAACTGCCTCTACCACTTTCATAACCCTTCCCTTTATATTGATACCAGAAAAGTTCTTCAGAAATCATAATGACATTCACTGTTTAAAATCTACATAGTAAATCATAATTCTAACTTCATAAACACAAAATCATAATTACTAAAGTCGCAATAATAGGGTTCCTGTTTAAAATCTTGCAATAGTTCTGTGAAGTTCCAGCCCTCAATGTTGTCCCAGCAGAGAATGTTGTTCTCTATCTGGCTTCTGTTCTGCCCCATCTTTACAGACATTATACCATGATGCCTCCAACAGTATTCTTTATAACTGACACATCCCAACTATCCCTACAAGAACTAAGAAACTATACCTATCCGGGCTCTTAATTCAGGAACGTAACAGACTCAGCTGAAACTGTGCTGTCACATCATGTCTCTCACCCCATCCTAAAAACAATACCCATTTTTGTCCTTGGTGCTCCTTGATGAAACTTAGTACTTCTCTGCTACATTGTCACTTCTTGTTTAATTCTCATCATTATTGCTGTATTTCATTCATCTTGTTTGTCATGTCCTAGCATTTTTCAAAATATTTATTAAAATGAAACAATGACTACTCACCTATATTTGAAAACATAATGGAAGTTACAATAAGTACAGAACAATATAGTAAAAATAAAATTAATATGTGGACATATTTTCAGCTCCAAAGTAATCAAAATTCTATTCAGCAAGAAAGCATTGTATAAGACAGTTTAATAGATGCAATACATGGGTGATAGACTAGTAAGTAGACATCATCTACAGTCAGAGTGTAAGTGAAATAACAGTAGGGAGAATGAGAACAAACCTAAGGGAGAACTCAGAGTAAGTCTCCTAAGATGATAAGACAGAGCCAGCCATGCAAAGGAAGCTGGAAACTGGTGCAGATGAAATCACTAGCATTTTGGAAGGAGTGACAATAGGCCAGTATAGTTGCTGCCTGGCAAGCAAGGGCACACTGTACAAGGTGAGGTAGGGAAGACTAAATAGGCCAGACTACAAAGAGCATGAAAGGAGAATGGAGTATATGCTGATACTCTGTATACAGCCAAAAGCCATCACAAGGTCTAAAATGGTTATTATGGTCAGATTATATTCCAAAAAAAGTGAGACTGCTATGTGGAAAAGACTAAAGAGGAATGCAATAATGTCTGTGTGGAAGGAAAATTGTTGAAAAGAAGATAATTAAAGTTAAAACATTATTTGGCCTCAAAGACAGTGGTGGTAGGGTTGATGAAACTGGGAAGAATGAGAGACTGAAGAGGAAAACTGAGTGATAGTACCAACAGAAAAAGAGATTATTTATGAAGTAAAGATTAACAGTGTAGCTCTGGACACTTAAGCTTGATGTGTATGAGGGACAGCAGATAAATAGAAAGCAGTTAGATATCTGTGGCTTTAGCACAATGCTTTCTAAGGCTGAAGAAAATAATTTGGGGAGTCATCACCAGGCAGACAAAATGTAGCAACAGCCACAAAACAAAAGGACATTGCCCTGAAGAGAGTATAAAAGAAAAAGAAGTCCAAAAGAGCCCTCAAACATAAAAAATTCACAAGTCAACCCAAGAACATGAATTACAAAGCAAATAGCCCAGAAGCAGCAAACTAAGGTGTTGCTACTTCTTGGAAGCCAAGATGAGATAATCTCCAGAGGAGGAGGTAAAATACAACTGAGCTGGGTGGCGCAGAGATCCAGTACTAGTACTCAGGATTTGATCATTTTTTGCTGTTTGTTGGCAAAAGTTGACCCAAGTAGTGATGCCAGAGTAGAATTTAAATACATAATCTGCTAGCTCCTTAAAATCAACCAAGAGCTCTAACAGATTAGAACTAAACCAAATACCAATCTCACATGTAACCAATCAGCATGCTTTACTATAAAAAAAAAAAAATGGCGTTTAGATTAGGTTCCAGGAAATTTTCAGTCATGTCACTGTATAGCATTTCCTCTAAGGAATATTTTCGATTATTACCCTCCCCCAGAAAGCCACATGTGCAGGCCCACACACCTGCTCATGTACATCTCCAATAACATCACAGTGTCTCCTAGTTCATTTTGCACTATTCCTATAACAAGAACCAAATCAACCTCTTCTGTGGTTTCAGACAACCAAGTCTAAGAAGTGATGCACCCCACCTTCTGCCACTATCTCTTCTCACCTGGAACACACTCATCAGAAGCCAAACACTAAAGAATATTTCATTTTATAAAACCTAGGATTTCCCAACACCTGTAAACTTTGGTAAACAACTGTGCAACAGCATTCTAGGAAAATGCTGCCCCGTAATTTCTCTATGAAATTCTATTTCTTGGGAATTTAAATTTATTCTGGGGGGGATGTTAATATTTTCCCATCTTGGAGAGTATTCTTCAATTCATTTTCTTATTATGTGCTTTCCAGAAGATACCTGTCACTCTAGATATTCTGACTGCCCTACCCAATATTACAGTAACAGAGATACACATTTCTTTGTGTGCAAGTGCCATTAAGGTCTACTTTGTAATTTAATTTATTTAACATGGAAATAAATCTGTCTTAATTACCAGTTTAATGGATATTTCCAAGTACCAACATAGCCCACAATTCATTATAACAGGAACATGATAAAAAATATTCTGTATACAACTTTTAGCTCTCATTGGAATCTCTATATTGATCGTATTCAGCAAATGTAAATTCTATGAAAAGCTGTACTGTTTAGGGAATCATGTCAAGAAAAAAAACTCTATGTTTAGTACAGACTAATTAAAAAATATTTTAAAACTATAAGTGATTAAATCCAAGGATGCAAAGGACTGTCTGTATTATAAGGCTTTTAAGTCCTACTCCATAGCAAAAATAAGTATTACAAGCTCCAAAATTGGTTATTAATGTACAATGTACAATACTTTCAAATGCAACGTCTGGCTAAAAGTGCCATGAACATTTATAATTCATCTCTTTGCTAAACATAATTATAATTTAAAAAATAATCAGATATCCACATTATTTTCTTCTGAGGACAAAAATGTTTCTTTGCAGTTGTTAAATTAAAAAATACACATTTGACTTATTGTGATATTTAATTAGGATTATCTTACTGCTAAAGTTAATTTCCCCAAAGTATAGCCTAAATGTATTGCATTATTAACAAATCTTAAATCCTAATTAATCTCCATATTTACTGAGATTTGTACTATTAACATAAAACCAGCTGTTTTCAGAGGTCTAGAAAAGGAGCTCACCTCCCCAAATGAATGCAAGAACATAAACTCATTAAATGAGTAAAAGAACATGAATTCATCCATTCTGTACTTTTGAGTTTTCATAAAAAGCAATTTGAAAGTGGCCAAATTTCAATGGCATCATAGTTTGAATACTCCAAAGGAAGGCTCCAAGTTAAAAACCAAATCTGCCAGGCACCAGTGGCTTATACCTGTCAGGCTGATATCTGAGGATTTGGTTCGAAACCAGCTCCAGCAGTAAAGTCTGTGGGACTCTTTATCTCTAATTAACCACCAAAAAACCAGAAGTGGTGCTGTGGCACAAAATGGTAGAGTGCTAGCCTTAAGAGAAAAGACTTAGGGACAGCACCTGTATATCCCACATCCAACAAAA